CTCACAAACACATCAACAACCATAACAGGGGCGAAGCCCCCACAGAATTTGATCTAGTTATTTAAAGATTGAACGGATCGATCAATTAGGTTGCGAAATTCCCGGCTAAGTTGTTAAGTTGCTTAATCTTCTTTACCTAATTGATAAAAACGTTAATTAATCATTTTGTCCTATAAAAAATTTCAATTTATTCCTATTCGCTCGTGTACACCATCTCTTAACAATATAGAACACTTAAAGAAACATTTCACAACAATAATATAGAAAATAAAGCATCGAACTAAATATAAAAGCTATCCTTCAGACTCAGAGTCCCAACTTGCACTAAGCGTCGAACTAAGAGTTTATTACTGTTGGACTACTAAGCTTTTAACTCGCTATATACTAATATTAATAATGAAATTATACTTTTCAAATTTCAAAATTTTTTTCTATCGCGTCTCGTCAAACTCAGAAACTGAAACAATCAATCCTTTGAATATCCTTTTTATGTAATCTAGTACTCTCCTTCTTTCCCTTTTTTATTGCTTCGATAATTCTCTACTACATTAACACATATCCAGTCCTTGATGGCTGTCACGTGGTAAAAGCCATAAAAGAGTCAGTAGTCATGCTTTTGGTTGTATGTTCCGAAATTGAGTTGAGAAAGTGATAAACGCGTAAGAATGATGATCAATTAAAGCTGGCAAACCGTTTGATTAGTAAACAAAATCCTTAATTTTATTTGTTGAAACTTATGTTATCAGTGAACGTCACGGCACTAACATCATATCTTGACACGAATGATCATAAAACAAAGTACGTAACCAAGATAACAAACAAAGTCAAAGCATAATTCTTTATTTTTGTAAAATAAATATTGAGAAGGTAAGGTACCGGCTAATTAAATGATAGAGTAGCAGGATGTTTCAAGGGAGGAAAGGCATAAAAACACCTGCTTGATAAGCCTGCCGAACCTTAACCCATATATTAGCAGTTCCTTCCCTGTTACTCAGTAGTGGTGTAAATGATTATCTATACAAGCACCTATCTTTTCTAACTTTCGCTTCTTATACTATTCCCATTGTAAAAACCCTTTCCAATTGCTCCCATCCCAAATATCAGCCGATACAACTGATCTAAAGTATAATCATTCGGTATCCTTAACTCTATCAAGATACCTTAAACGTTCCCAGATTACAGAAATAATATTCCCAAGTTTTTGGCTTGAGTTTGAGGAATTTGATAAATGAGCAGAATATGTCGAAGCCTCGCTTTGCTGGTCTGATGAACAAGTAGAAGATGATGAATCCTCGCTTTGCTGGCCCGATCCTCTCCTATTAGTACTCAGGGACAAAGGAATGTCATTGATTAACTTCGGTTTGAAGAATTGTGATAGATCTATTAATTGATTCAAATTCGGTTGCTACTTTTTTACAAAAATTATTATGGTACGTTTGAAGAACTTGTTCCAACTTTATGATGGGCGGGCCCATAGCATAGCCGTAACATTACGACCAATGAAATCGACTGGTAATAGTAACACAAGACACTTCACATAAATGTGTATTCCCAAAACCGGACTGTATCCCCGAAGTCATGAACGATGTCGTTAGTTTTAGAGCTTTGTACACTAATTGAATACTTAGGGTTGGAATGGGTTCCTTGTTCAGAAATCACTGACGTAACGTCAACGTCAATGGACAACGTTTACTATGCTATTCGCAACGGAACGTCCAAAACGGCACAAACGATGATAACGTTGGTGTTGCTTGGAAGCCATGAAGAATGTACACCAACATTCGTGAGTGAGTTTGCTAGGATATACTCACTTCCAACACACAAGTACGATAACAATGTAAATGACAATAAGTTTAGACGATACTCCGAATGGCTTACGACTCGCAACGAACTCATAAAGGGCTTCACCAAGTCTAATGATGATAACTATTACATGGTTGCTAATAAACTCTTTTACCATTATTATTCTCTCTATGGATTCTGCTCCGTATGTGGATTACTCCGATGTAGTCCAGTGTGGTGCATCTGTGGACATAAACAATTATTCGATGGATGGACTAGCAGCAATAAGCAACTCGATGAGTTTATAAAGAAGACTCAGTCGCAAACAAACTCAGCGAATGACGCCTATCTGGAATGGATTCCATACGATTGTATTAATGATGAGAAATATGATGTATACTTGCATCATGGTCTACTTACTAGTCAAGAGGTTGAATTGATTCCACTTGAGATAACAGATGAGACACATGATTTATATTATGCTGAGGTAAACTATTTACTTATTCGTCATGTTTATTGAATAGTTTAATCATTATTGACTTATTATTATGTATCATTTTCACTAGTTATGTGGTAAGCATCCTGACATTCTTAGCATGGATGTTTGGGTTACCATCGGATTTACATACAAACCAAGCAAACAAAAGTATTGTCTGATAAAGGAATACCTTAAGTATGGATTAGGCCGTGTACAGATAAATTAAACGAATTCTGTTATTATTGTACAGCCCCACAGCCTCCTGACTGGACTACTGGTAACAAGACGTTGGATTCATTCATTATGGAATCGTGGAGTAATGTAGATCATGTATACGATGGTATATACGATGGATAGAGTATTCCACATTGATGAATATACGAGGAATGACCTCATTACGCCATGGATGCACACTCATAAAAGTGACACTCAAGCAGATCAGTGATGCCCAGTCACATAATTTTCATCAGGTAAATTATTCCACATGTAAAAGTAATGCAATTACTATTAAGCATTGATTGTTGTTAATATTATTAATTGTATTGTTTACTCAAATAGCTAACTCTGGAATATCCAAAGATATTAACCCGCGATAATATTTGGATAGTTGGAATAACTCAAGAACCATCTACTCAGAGATATTATTTAGTTTTCTACTATGATGTACATGAAATATTGAACAGGTTTATACAACTTGACTTTATTGACTATGTGCAGTACAGTGACTTTTGCGAACTCAGAGAGATCGGATCTGGTGGCTACAGAACAGTTTATACTGCCAATTATTACATATTTGATTGCTACTGGCGAACCACCTTTTAGAGGTAGGCAATTTGATGCAAGTCTAATGCGCGACGTTATGGATGGGCTACGACCATCGATGCCTGATTCAGCACCAGAGGAGTATAAGAAACTTGCCGAGCGGTGTTGTGATGCTGATCCTGATAAGCGTCCTGATACATGGACACTTTACAATGATATTGACAAGCTTATTAAGAATTCTAATGGCAATGCATGGAATACCGTTTATCATAGTGATGTAAAACCATTATGACATTTCGAAAAGGAGAGTAAATACTCTAGTAAACTCTTACCTACTGGACATTTGCCTAAACCAAGAAATAGTAATGAGATGTCAATTGAGTTTCAGGTATAAAGACAATATGTTGTGAGCAGTAAGTCTTTCAGTGTTATTAACTTTCTGACATTAGATCATGATTGATATATTTGTTCGAAAGTTTAATTAAATCGAAAGCAATAAATATTACGCAAACGTTTCTGCTACAAATGAGCCATAATGCTCGTGTCTGTCAACATATTTAGAACGCAAAGGTTTGTGATAAAATTTCATAACCTTTCGCTGAACATTGATAAAATTTTTTCAGTTAACAACGACTTCGGAAACAATATCTCTAAATTATAGCATAGATATCGTACAATATGCTAATCAAAGAGTTGAATAAAAGTTACACTATGATAATGGTTGGGAAACATTTCTTGCCACAAAAAATAAACAGAGAATATATTATACAGTACGTTGTCATATTTAATGCCCAAAAAGATAGTGGACGAACAAAACGATCAATTGTTTAATTTCATCAGGTAAAATTATTCACCGTAAATAACGTCAAGTAAGCATTGGTGTAATCCAAATAGCTAACGTAGGTAGAGATATTAACTCCCGATAATATTTGGGATAGTTGGAATTGCTCAAGAACCACCCCACTTACACTCTGAAATATCATTTAATTTCTATCGTGACCTGCATGAAATATTGAACAGTTTTACACAACGTTGTTGCAAACATGTCACTGTATGGTGAAAATCTTTAGTAAGACGAATCGTGTCCATTTTGATTTTGTATCTGCAGTATACCGACTTTGATGAATTAAACAGATTGGTTACTGTTTATACTGCCAAATATAAGAGATATTCAGAAGTATGGCGTATGGAGAAAAACTATTGACTCAAACGATTTAATAACTTTGATGGAATGCCGGAATTATTTATCTCCAAGGTAAACAATAATTGATAATTAATGTCAATAAAAGTAATACAATCTAACGTTGTGTTTGCTTTTGTTAATAGTTCAGAATCATGCCAAGTGGTCTGCTACTTTATTTATTCATTTCTTAAAATTATGGAGTGACACAAGACCCGGAATCACAAGAGTATGTTGTATGTCAGATTGGAATTTATGTCAATTCCGAAGTAACATATGTCAGATCAGAATTACAGTGTGTAACGAAAATAATTGCCATCACAAAAAATTGCATAACTCAACAATGTCACAAGCTATTTAAACGATTCGAAATGTTTCAGAAAGTTTATAATGTACTTTATTATAGATAAAAATTTCAATATGAAATTGTATCCCCGTTATTTTCCAAAACAAGCTCGCATTTTTTTTATTGATAAAACAAAAATCGTTCACTGTTTCAATTAAAATCGGGACATCTCATTCTTCAACCTTAAACTTTTTCAACTTATTAATATCCTTTAACATTCGTTTTTCAACATTGTTTTTGATTATTTGCCACATATTTTCTATGAAATTAAGGTCTGGGCTATTGTATGGGCAATCAATAACCGAATCCCATTCTCAACAATGAAATCCTTGGCAACACGCGAGGTGTGCATAGATCATTATCTTGTTGCAAGCGCCAGTTTCTGCCATAGTTGCTTTGAGCAGCTGCCAGGAGCTGGGTTAGCAATATATTTACATAAAAAGGCTTATCAATTATGTCAGTGAAGCAAATCGCCTTGTTGTAATGGCGACGTTTCGGTGCAAATGCTGTCCAAGTGCATGATATACCATTTGTGTAACTTGTGAATGACGACCATTTCCCTTCTTATGTTCGACAGATTCTGTATCTCTGAGTTTATTAAGATTGTACTTGACTGTATAAAGCAGAAATATTAGCTTTTTGTGTATCTCCTTTGGTGATTGAGTGCTATTAAGCCAATAATAGAGAATTGTTTGAGTTGGGCCTTCCAGTCGCGAGTTAACCATTGTTACTAATAATGTAAGTTCGGAGATGTCTGACAATCCGAAGTTTTTTATCGTGAAAAAACGTTTATCTGATTAGTAACTAAGTGTAAATAATATCGCGCTGACAATAAACAACACGTTTCTAGTTTATTATACGAAATATCTTCGATTTTTCGAAGGCAATTATTTTCGTTACACACTGTATTCAATAAAAAATTGTCATATTTAATATTATTGCTAATATTCTATTATTCTCATCTGACACATGTTAGTTTGGAAGCGACATAAAACTCTGATCTGACATATATCACTTCGGAATTGACATAAATTCTGATCTGACATACAACATAAACAAGTACATGACATGATTGCTAAACAATGGTAGCTTTTGTCTTATTTGGAACAAATTGACGTGGAAGGATAAATTACGGAGTCTGAAAGATATTGCACATTATATATTATATTCCCAATGCGGGACTAGTGCACTGTGATATACGTGGAAAGATAGTCATGCAATACTAATACGGATGATATTGATTCATTGATATGCGATCTTGGTCTTTCACGATCGGTGAATTCATCCCACGAGTCCAATTCAAACATTCGAGTCGTATTACACCGGAAGTCTTCCATATCTGCAAATTTAGTCAGAAACCAGCTGTGTATTCTTTTGGTATTATTATGTATTTGATGGCTTATGGTCATGCAGGGTGAAGTTTAAGTTCGTTGCCAAACTAGTAATTTTGTTTTCATTGAACTAATTGCCGTTCCGAGTTTAATATGCTCTCTATTCGCAGAAACATTGTCTGTGTTTTTTGGTGGTTTGTCAGGTTTCATAAGTTACGATACGCAAGGAGGAATAGAGCTAAAACTGTCTGGGTTAATATTAAGGAGGCGAATGACAAGTATTAAATCAATTTATTTGGGATTTCCGTTAGAACGTGGGTTGATATTGTAATAAGTTCGTACAAGGTATACATATTACTATACATCGAAACAAATTGTGATTGGTTTGCTTGCAGAGTTTAAAAGTCTACCCTTGCGTTATGCATATTTAGTAGCTCATTCTGATACTGAAGACAATAAGTTAGGCTTGTGTGGGATTAATTATGATAGAGTTCAGAAAACATTTTCAGATAAATGCTCGACGCACGCTTATCCGCTAAAATCGGCAAGTTATGTGGCGATTAATTATTGTAAAGTTCATAAACATATCTGGAAAATACACTAAGTATCATCTGCCCCACATGGTAAGCCGTTGATTAGTCATAAAGTTTCATTACGGCGGCTACCGCCAAAATGATCAGACATTTTATGCCGATATTATTCACGTTCTGTCAAATACCAGTTTTAGCATGCCACATTAGTTCTCATCCGCCACAGAGATAACATACGCGATAGTTATAAAGTTAACCTTGTTAGTAATAGCAAGCAGGGATGTAATTATAAAAAAAAGAACGTCTGTAATTTGGTAGGGGTACTTGGAGAAACGTCCTAATTTAAAAATATATTAATATATATTATTTTTTGAATATAATACGAAGTAGTGCTTTGTCCAGCGTAACTTGATTCTTTTTGGGTACATACAACAGCATAATTTAGAGTGGTTGTTATTGTAATTGTAATTGTTAGCCTTTTTTTATAAATAATAGAGCATTGTTTGGAGGAGACAGTTTATCCGAGCAGTGTAGTGTATAGAGTAAAAACATTTTTCGTGAAAGCGGGCTGGTGGGCGGATAATGAAAACGTGAGTTAGACAAGTTTGCAAGTCTCTGCTGGACACATCTATCTGAGAGTAATTTTTGTCTTGGAAGACAGTTATATTTACGAAATTACGTAAATGGTGATTGCACACAGTTGACTTATAGATTTGATAATTGGAATCACCCAGGAACCATTTACTCGGGGGTATTACTTAGTATTCTATTACGACGTATATACAATACTGGACAGTTTCATACAAAATAGCAAAAGTGTTAAATACATTCAGTATAGCGACTTTGATGAACTCAAACAGATTGGAATTGGTGGTTACGGAACAGTTTATATTGCCAAGTATAAAAAGTATTCAACAGTTGTACTCAAACGTTTTAAAAATTTTGATGAAATGCCAGAATTATTTATTTCTGAGGTAAGCAATGATTGGTACTATTATTAAAGTGATATTTAAGCTGACTCTATTTAATATTTATTTAATAGTTCAAAAATCATGCAAAATGTTTACGTGGTAATTTCCTTAAAATTTATGGAGCCACACAAGACCCAGCGACAAAAGAGTACATGATTTTTATGCAATATGCTAACAAAGGCAGTCTTTTGTCTTATTTGATTCAAAATATTAACAAATTGACGTGGAAGGGGAAATTATGGCATTTGAAGGACATTGCAAATTATTTGTGTTATATTCATGATGCTGGATTGGTGCATTGTGATCTTCATGGTGGAAATATTGTTATGCATGATGAACATGGTGGAAACACTGTCATGCATGATGACTGGTACATGGGTGCAAAATCATACATATGCGATCTCGGTCTTTCACAATCAGTGAATTCACGCAAGTCAAATTCAACCATTCGAGGCGTTTTACCTTTTATTGCACCGGAAGTCTTCCATACCTGCAAATTTACTCAAAAATCGGATGTGGTATCATTATGTACTTGGTTGCTACTGGTGAACCACCATTGAGAGATTGGTCGTTTGACAAATGTTTAACGATACGTGTTTGTGAGGGACTGCGACCGTCGATGCCTGATTTTGCGCCAGAGGAATACAAGAAACTTGCCGACGCGGTGTTGGGATGCTGATCCTGATAAGCGTCCTACTGCATCGAAACTTTACTATGATATTAACGGGCTTACTTACAAATCTGGTGACTACATGTGGAATGCCATTTATCATAATGATGTAAAGCCATTATCACGTCTTAGTCTCGAGAAAGAGAGTAAATATTCCAGCACACTTTTACCTACTGGAGCTTTGCCTAAACCAAGAAACAATTACGATTTGGATTCAGCTTCAGGTATGTTGCGCATTGCTACACAATAATAAATAAAGTCAATTTACAATGTTAACACCGAGCATTTTTTGTATCTAGAGACTCAACCTCTTTTTTGAAGACTTTTTAAGTCAGCGGGCTTGTTTACGGTATTCAAGCTTTATCCAATAGTTACAATTAAATAAATTAAATATGATATGCTTCCACTTCTTACGCATACCCAGACAAAGTACACTTTATTCCCAAGCTATTCCGGCAAAGTACCAAAAGTATCAGCAATTTTTTTTTCGATTATGTTAGTACTATAACTTTTGAAGCCAATTGATTGCATTTTTTGAAAAAAAAATAATGATATACTTAGTTCCGTTATTATTTTAAGGCTACTGTTTAATAATTGCAGTATCGATGTCACCTTTTCTTCGAAAGCGCTATCGTACGTATTTACTATGTGTTTATATACCTGTTGTATGTCAATTCTAGATTGACATACAAAAATAGGCATGTTTCAACACCATATTAATTGCCTAAAATTTGATCAACCTTCAGTAATGGAAATGACTGTCGAATTCCGCGTCAAGTGTGACGCGCGGCATGTACGCACCGTAGTAAGCTTTGCAAAAAATCTTCAGCAACAAACTTGTGAAATACATCCGTCCAGTTTTGTATAAGTAGTACACAGAAGGGAGATTATTTGCTGAATATGTCAACGACAGTGTCGTAGGGTTTAATTGTAAGTTATAGTTGGGAAAGCCGTTATAACTCTTGCCAGAATCATTCCTATCGAACGTATAAATTTGGTTTCATAAATGCTAGCACTCTCTATGACATCAAACAATCATGCAAGCAAACCATTCCCATGTGCTAAGTATTTTTTTTTGTTTGAATATCTATATTTTGACCACATCCAGACGGTTGTGGTCGATCGAAATTTAGCACTTACTATTACACTTTAATCACACGTTGCATCGATCAAGACTTTTATTACTTTATCTCGCGCCCTGACACATGTAATCATATAGTTTCGAATGACTGGTGATGCAATGTTTGAAGATTTTGCGCAAATTTGTTAATGTAGTGTTTACAAGTCTTATGGTTTGAAAGACATATGTATATGTACCCGCTAAATAATTAGAATTTGTGAAAAAGAAAACGCTCACGATTTTCACAGTTGAAACTGGTACTTATTCAAATTATATTAGTTTATATGTAAGCGTTTAGGCATAAAAGCATAAGAGAAAATTTACGAAACAGAACATAGTCTTTTGCAATATCAATTCTAGTAATGGTTGTCTGACTGGTGTTTGTTGATGAATAAAAGAGTGTGAACGTAATATTTACATTTCTTAATAAAAATAAGTCTCGTAGAATTGCAGTAACCTAGTTTTTAACGTATCCAAAATTATTTTATTGAATTTAAATTGTGAAAATCACAGCGTCTATTTAACTGATGCGTCACGTAATATTGGGAAATAATTTGTTCGATTGACGAGCTTTTTTTTTACTGTCAACTTTTTTAAGTTACATACATAGTCTTATTAAAACGTTTCCAAAAGTTTAATATAATTTTTCGCTGGTTTTCTAAATCGGGGCTTACCTATTACCATGTAAAAAATAAAAACATGTTTCGCAATTAAATAAAACAAAAGTTTATATAATGCAAAGTTATGCAATTTTTAAGTTTATATGATTTATTGTCAATAATGCTATACACGTCGAACAATCAGTATCTGTACGAAAAAGAAACCGAAACATAGTTTGCACAAGCTATCTAGTTGTTTAGTATAAGCGAATGACTAAATAATGAGCTAATCAACAGAAAACACTTCCCAATCAATCCATGTAAATCTATCCCCCGTGGATCTGATTGGAATTTGATAACTGGTCGTATGATTACTAGCACAAGGGCTATTAAAAGCCCTCCTTAGGGTACTGCCAAACCCAACAAAATTGTGTTGGCTATTATTGCCAAACGGTAACGGAGTACCAAAATTGTGTTGGCTATTATTACCAAACGGTAACGGAGTACCAAAATTGGGTTGGCTATTATAATTATTGCCAAACGTTAACGTATTACCAAAATTGGGCAACTCGTTTTGGTTATTATAAATAGCATGCGCTGCATCTTTCACAAAACTTATTATGCTTTTCTCGACGTCTTTCTTATCCAGCGAAAATATAAAACTTTCTCTAGTTGGAAGCCATCCACTATAAGTAGTACTCCACGATAGCGGGTTATATCCACCAAATATTTCTCCCGTCTCTTTTACACTTCCTACAGCAATCGTCGGTCCTTTATCTGCACACATTCGCCAAAAATTTCTCAATCTATCATTCGTATCACCATCCCTACTTTCTCGATAAAGTAAGGTCAGCTTATAAGTAATGATTTGCCTACTAGTTTCACCTCGTTCAACTTGGCCTAATTGTGCTGACTCTGCAATTTTCTGTAGAATCCATGATGCCTGTAGCTTGCTAATAACAACTGAATCAATATCAGGTAGTTGTCCTTTTCTGTGCGGTAACATTTGCGTTTTCGGCTTGTAGTTCTTTTTCAGATGATAACCAAGTATATCAGATCGCAACTCCCTCGGTAATACATCAATGTACGGAATAACCCTATCACTGAGTTCTTCAGATGAAATATTAAAGAACCTTACATGAGGCACATATTCAGCGATGACATCTTTGACGGCAATAATATCATTAACTGACCAATTGGCTGGATTGTCTGAAAGTTTAGAAATATGGTTAATAGCCCATTGTACAACTGATAACCAAATATCAACTTCTTCCATATCAAGCTCATCATTCTTGAGAAGACTAATAAAGGTCGCTTTTGGTAAATCAATCATATTTCTGGACTTTAGGACGATGTCTGGTGATGATAACATGAGCTGAATGCAATAATCTCCAAGTTTCTGTAGCGAGCCAGTGGACAATGCATAGTTGTAAACCGGGAGAATATTTTGTCTTATCCACTCTTCATGCTGTTCAATCAAATGATCCCCAATCGCAGTGCAGAAAGTGCTTAACCCAAGCTTCTTAGCACCTTCCAAAAGAACAAACCAAGATACGTTTTCGCAAGATTGGGAAGTCACCTTTCCTGTGTAAATAAATCTACAAATAATGTAAATACAACATCAATATGTTTACTACAACCGGAGCACTGCGAACTACATTTACGTTTGTAAATAGATTCAGATCAAATTTACCTAAGCAAAATTTCAAAAATATCAGGAGTCAAGTCTTCGAACACCAAAGAAGTTTGTTGAATTTCATTAGTGTTAGAGGCATCTGTATTTCCGGTTAGCTTGTTTTCAAAATATCCGCTCCTTGCACATAGGACCAGGGAATGGGCAAGAAATATCTTATTGTCTGGCTCTTGGCCGACATGAATGGAGATGTCAGTATATTTTCCGCTTTCATAAAGCTTTTCATAATCTGACGAAACACCAGAAAGTAATTCAACTGCGTTATTCATTTCAATGGTACCGTAAACTCTCATGAATAAGAGCCCGCCATGAGTAAGGGCCCCCGTATATGAAAGTAGCGATCATGTGATAAGATCTGTAATGGTTGAAAACGGCTAACCCCCCCCCCCCACCCCCCTCATCACCCACTTGATTATCAACCAATAACGCCATATGATATATGCAGACCGTGATTATGTAATAAGTGAAATGAGGCGGGCAACTGTTACGTGACGATGAAGGCTTAAAAACAATGCAAAATGATCTACAACCAACCCATCCATGAATAAGAGCCCCCTTATATGATGAGGGGGGGCCCTGATTGTTTATCATGTGTAACGTAAAACAGTAGGGCCGATTTTGATATTGACTTTATAGCTTCGCGGCATTTTTTTGTTTCTATGGCTAATGTTATTATTATCATGTATACGTTGGAGTTATTAGTTAGCTAAAGGATAAAAATCAATGCTATTCTTATCATGTACCATCTCAAGCGTATGTGTACAAAAGGATGTTTGAAACAATAAATAACTTTTGTCCTGTAAACGTGAGTGAGCAGTATTTGCTTAATATGCAGTATACTGGCAAAAATCGATCAGCAGTATACAACAATAAATATATAAAGATTATCAATTTTAATAAATTTTTGTTATTTTTTATTAAGACATCAGAAGGCTGGATTATTACCCATTATCATACGCATGTCTGACAAAATAAATGCTAATAATAAAATTTCTCTTCACATTTACTTTCGCCCAATATACATATATTAATATGTAGTTATTGATAACATCTGTAAATTGCCAAAGACAAATGCAACAAAAATTACAATATGTCAGACACACATATATATACGGGATTATGGTATATAACCTCTTGCCGCATTGTTATTCGTCATAATAACTTACCTTCTCTTTTCGAACATTAATCATAGTCCAGTCTGGTTGTGCTCATCATGTCGACGATGACTCAAAGCGTGGAAACACGGGCAAATGTCTTTTTTTGATCCAATGGATTGGGATAAATTTATATTACTAACTACTACAAGACTTACTTATTACTTTTGCCGCGTTCAATTACCTTACAAGATCAGGAAAAAATTACTAGTCTATACAATTGGTATTCTGTACGAGCAGTTATAAACCGTTACCTGGAAAATAAATCGATATAGTAATAGATTAAAACTTTTTGCATACACCATCACATCAGATTAAATATAAATATCAATTACTATGTAATTAATACAACCAATTATTGAAATAAATAATTCCGGCATTTTTTATCAAAATTCTTAAATCGGTTTAGTACAACTTGTTTTTTGCATATCTGAATATTTTCTATACTGACAGTATAAATTGTTCCATAACCACCAGATCTAATCTGTTTAACTTTCTCAAAGTCGGCATACTAATACAGCATGTACTTAACAAATTTGCAATGTTGCATAAAGCTGTCCAACATTGCATGTCGGTCATAATAGAAAACTAAATAATATTTCCGAGTAGATGATTCTTGGCCAAGGAAATACATAAATGCACGAACATACCAACCTCTACTGTATAAAATAATCTTAACAAACTCAAAAATTGGGGGGCAATACAACATGCTCAGTTGTCAAGAAATTGTCCTAACTTTAGTAATTGGTAATTATTTTGATAAAAATTTATGAAATTTGCGACAATCATCCGTGTGTATTGCTATATTTTCGTTTTGCCCCAAAATGTTATAATTAGACTAATAATTGACGATCATTAGTTCAGCTTTCCCATAAATAGCATTATATTTCCACTTTTCCCAATTTTACGTTTATGTTTGTTTGTCAGTGGTATGACGTACAGTTTGGGACAAAAAATTTTTTCATGATACAAAAACACGTCTAGCCTACCCAATTTAGATTGTATTCGCGACGCGTAAATGTAAAATCAAGCACGAGTTTAAGCAATTCAAATTTGATACTTTTTGTGTTTGTTGTTATTTATGCTTTTTGAGAGAAACGTTCACATACTAATGGTATCCAAACAAGTACTTCAATGACAAACCATATTACTTTTGTGGGATAAAGTGTACGGGATGCGTGACCAAATATTATCAGGAGTTAATATCTCCAAGTTAACTGTAATAAAAGTGTTCATGTAATACTTATCGTCATACTCGATAAACTTTTTTATTAGTTTATTGCGGTGAGTAAGCCATTCCTTATACCGTCTGTATTGGTTGACATTATTATTATATTTGTGTGTCGAAAATGAGTATATTCTGGCAAACTCACGAATGTTGGTGTACATTCTTTGGTGTTTCCAAGGCGTAATAACGTTACCTCGTTTCATTAACTTTACCCTCAGGAAACGTTTTCTTTCGAATGGTATAATAGACACTGTGGTTCTATGTCGTTTGTCGCAAGGAATCCACCCAAGTCTTTCCTCGTCTTCAATGAATAGAACTAAATTGTCAATTGCTGGATTATTAACAACCGCTGACATTAACAACGAGATTCAAAGTTCTTGTGATATTAATAGTGTGTGAGAGCCAATCATGTTTCGAAAATTTCGCCGCAAAATGAATAAGTATCTCTGTACATTTGATAGGCCGACAGAATATCTATTTTACGAATCCCGCGATTTTTAATTTCTGCGTGTGCGGATTATCATGTCATTTCTTCCTACTCTAGAGACAAAAGCAGATGTTGATGCCGTTATCCGTAACACAGAGGATCTCGTAGTTGCCCTTCGCTTTGGTAAAGCTGATGATCCAGTATGTATGCGGCTAGATTATATCGTAAGTATCATTGTATCTAATAGTAGCAATCATTTGCCTCGATCATTCATTTCAACACACCATTTACTTTTTTCTAAAAAGCTTGGCAAAGCATCACCAGAGCTCGCTAGAATGGCAGTTATATACACAGTTGATATCTCACACGTTCCAGCATACGTCTCCTACTTTGACATAACTCTCATTCCAGCCACAATATTCTTCTTCAATGCGCAGCATATCAAAGTTGATTATGGCACACCCGATCATACAAAGTTCATCGGAACCTTTGTGAATAAGCAGGATTTCATTGATTTGATTGAAGTTATATACAAAGGAGCAATGAGAGGGAAATTGGTCGTAGTAAGTCCAATTGATAGACGAAGAATTACTCAATATGACTTGGTGTATAAAGATATTTAAGATCGCAAATCAAAGGTAGGGGGTGGGGGCTGGTCCGAACCTGAGATTATGTCGAACGTAAGATGATTTGAAAATAGTTGTCTGTCTTATCAAGCGAAGATTATGTTTCTTTTTCCCGATGCTGAATGTCATCGCGAGCTAGAGTGGTATCGTTTGTTGCGAACTTGAACTCGGGTTGCCGACAACAATCCATTATTGGAAAGAAGTAAACAAATAATAATATGAGTTCTCCTTGGAATAATATTCAGGCAAATTTGATCTTGGCAAATAATAATAAACTATACATTTGTCTCACTAGTTAAAAACGTATGTTATTATTCACGAAAATAGAAATAAGACACACCGCATCCATACATACGAAACAAATATTAATTACCTGAACGTGCAAACGACATTCTATGCTATGTCAACCGACAACACGTACTCCATTCTGATGCTCACAATGTAATTATTGAAAATGATAATTATATAACGTTTATTAAAATATGGTATATGTTTCAAAATCTATATAATTATTATATTCTCTTAACATTTTTCCTTCATTCATTACTAGCCATACCATGCTATTTTTTCGATGACGAATAATTCTCTTTTTTCAGCTTATCCAAAAACTCTTTCGCTTTAGTTTTATCCCTGGGATCTTTTGCCGTCTCCTTGACTTTCTTCAGCATTGCCAGTCCTTTTTGGTAACTCGACTCATCTCCCAATTTCTTTCCATAATCAGCTAGATCTTTCATGCAACGTATATTACCATGCTCCGCACCTTCTAAAAATAACGGCAAACATTCCGTCTTCATTCTTTGCCGAATCAAATCTGCATCCTCATCTTGTCCAGCTTCTCTAAACTTTTTTTGCAGTGCCGCTGCCGCCGCCATCTTCTCTTGAGCGAGGTACTGAATTGCGTCATAATATCCCAATTGAGTCGCTACCTCGAGGTAACTTATTCCTACGTTAGGATCTTTGTCGTGATCAAACACAATTCGCTTGTCAATCAGATATCGGCCAACATAAAAGTTTGCTTCGGGATCGGGCACATCACGGTCAGCAAGTATTTTGAACTGCTCAAAGGCTTCTTTGTAGCGTTTTTGCGCGTGGAGATGTAGGGCCGATTTGATCGTGACGTCCGAGATTTTAAGAGTGCGGGGTTCGCTATCTGTATCGGAAACGGGTTCGTACGTTTCAGCGTTTCGGATATAATCTTCGTAGAGTTGTTCGAGTTCTTTCACAACGTCATGCATGATTGGGCGAGCGGTGGGATCTTGTCTCCAGCATTTCTGCAATATACTATTGTATTTTTTTGGTGCGCTAGGAACCAATGCCGGTCGCGGAGAAGAGTCACTTTTCAATAAATCCATTACGACGTTGATGTGTTTGCCCGCGAAGGGAGCTTCATGTGACGAGATTTCCCACATGAGCATACCGAAACTGTGAAATATATATCGTGTATAAAGGTACAAGCAAAACGGTTGCGTCAATCGATATGCGTGGTTTGCTCCGTGCACGATTCAGTACCGCATACTGATATGCGCCGAATTTGATCAAAAATTCAAATCGGTAATAAAGATCCGTACCTGTATACATCGGCTTCCATCGAGTACGGAAGATTGTTATCGATTACTTTCTCCGGACATAACCACCTGATGCGCTCGGTCACTTCGGAAATAGAAGTTGTATAATCGCCAATTCCTCTGCAACTCCAAAAGTTTCCCAACTTTACATTTCCATACGTATCTACGACCACACTATGGCTATAAAATTGAAAAGAAAAAAATAAGTTAAAAGTATAAATTCATCATGCGCGTAAACAGATTACAGAATTGTCCATGCCTACGAATGTCATGATGCAGAATAAGTTTACTATGACACATGCTGACTGCTTTCGCTAGACGAATTGCCATCTTTATCTTTCGGTCCCAGCTGATGGACTTGTTTTCGGCAAGATATTTATCGAGCGTTCTGTTATCTGTCCATTCTGTGATCATGTAATAATGATAATCCTTGTCTTCTTTTAAAATACCGTATCTTTTTTTGGCACGAATAAGAAATACAACGAAACTCGTTAGTTGATGCGGATGACGGTAAATGATTCAGACGGGCTTACAAAGCAGATATGAACACCTACATCGACACAAATAAATCAGTCTTCAATATGGAGCTAATGTAGGCCTGTCTCCAATACATATCAATGTCGTCGCCTTCTTTTGCAATTTTGACCTTTGATGCGGGAATACTGCCGCGATACATGACTTTCTCAGTATTACTAGTAGGATCACATGGACTATCGGGAGCCGGCTTGATCCATTCGGGTCGAATTTTTAGACGATCTATTTTTTCTTTTACTACTGGAACACCGTGGCAACACGCAGTCGTAATAAACGAGTTTTGAATTCTCTTTGTAATAGCGTATTTGATAGAACTGAGACCGTTCTCCATAGTTTCCGCGTCTTCTAACTGATCTTGTGAATATCCCATTTGCTGCCTCAATCTGCGAATATTGTCGAAATCCAATATTACATTAGCGGCACTGAGAGAACTGTCTAGATTGTTGAACAACGTCTGTATCTTTCTGTCTATCTAATAGGTAAAAAACGAAAAGAGAGGAAATTGCTCGGTGTTGTTAGTTCCGCTTATAAGGGCAACAATATTAAAATACTATCGCTTACTTGGTCCATATTGAAAAATCTCAAAAGCGTTATCATTTTCGGTTTTGTATACTGCACTAGAAACTTTTCCAAATCTTTTAACGCCTTCATCAAAGAGTTGGAATCAATAACGTCGTCATTATGACTGATAACCTGTCTTATTTCCGTCATATACTGCTTCATAAGAGGTAGTGTTTCAATATTATATCTTACGGTGTCCATGAGTTTGATGATACGGTCAATCATAGAAACCAGTTCGGTTGTTTTCGGAACATCCACCGTTATAGCGACAGTACCCATCAACTCGATCGTAGCTCCGAGAATTCCTTTCCCCATCCGGCTATCAATATGTATTTCTTCCAGAGCCCACGTTCTTAATTGTTCGTATACCTCTTCACTCGATGGTCGCTTGGTAGGGTCTTCGCGCCAACATTTCGAATATAGCTCAATATAGTCCTTGGGTGTTTTCGAAAAAGGAGGATCACGATGGCCCTTCCGTCGATATGAAATGATATCCTCCATGCTCGTACGCCCTTCGCAAGGATGCCTTCCACTCGATATTTCCCAGAGTATTACTCCAAGACTGAAAACGTCCGCCTCCATTCCACCATCATAGTCGTCATCTTTAAAGTACCCTGGATCTTTGTATGCCGCGGCAACTTCGCTTGGAGTTATAGACATCATCTCTTTTATTACGGTGGTCAACCTCAAATCGGATATTTTCGCAACACCTAATTGAATAAGAATAGAATTCGATGACTGAGAAGAAAACGCCGATAGCATTAGCATATGACATATGCTGCGGCAACACGATGCAGATGCAATAACTTACCATGTTCAAGTGAAAGATATTAAGACTGTGTAAAAATCTTAACCCGTTGGCGATCTCCAAGCCCAACTTGTATTTATCTTTCCAGGTTAAATTATCAAATTGTTCATTCAAGTGTTGGCGCAGAGTTCCACCATCAGCATATTCATAGATAATACAATCATTGAAAATGTCTGTTTATATCATAAGAGAAAAATAAGCAATGATTCTTTGTAGCGTAATCGCAAACAAACAAGAATATTGCTTCAAGTATACCTCTGCATACACCCAAAAATTTAATGATGTTAGGATGAGCGTTCGCTGCTTTATGATTCTTCAACTATAGTATGATTTGATGAATTACGTTAGTTTCTGTAAGGCATGTGACGGATAATAACACAGATGAAAACATATCAGTAACCTCTTCAACGAATCGTTTGTATAATTTCTCATCATAGTTGATCGAGCTTGAAATTAATGTTTTCAATGCAATATACATTCCAGTGTCTTTTAATTTTGCTTTTAATTTTGCTTTGAACACTACCCCATATCCACTATAGCCAATGAATGTACGATCCAGGATGTCATCCTCTGAAATACATTTGATATTTCCTTCCTTAATGCTTCTATCTAGCCAACCTTTATGTCCGTTGTCGGGCATCGTCAAAGAGTTTGAGAGCTGAACAAATGAATTAGGCTCTATGCATAACAAAACAAACTGAATGTTTCACAAGATCAGATTGGTCCGAAAGCGACATAGCATACATACTGTGCGTCCTATTTGGTCACTCGACACTTTCGTTTCTTTCGATTGCCCCTACTAACCTTCTCTTGTACTAATGTAGTGCATGTCTCTTTCAAATCAAGCATGCATGGAAAGAAGCTACTAAATTTAGTACATTTTCAAACGAGCACAAGTTGAGTAACTTTCATCTGCTGTAGGTTACTATAATAATTTCGGTAGTTTTCTTTTATTGTGATAATTAACGTTACGTGCATAAATTATAATGCAAGAGCAATGTTTCAAGCTTCAGGGACAGATCTTTCACAAACCGTAGCCACCGAAACGGTCCATCAACTCGCTCCACAACTTGGGAAAAGAAATAAAGAAAACAATAGAAAATAGAGTTAGTTAATAACGTAAACTAATGCTGTGTATGCTTACCTGATACTTACCCCAAATCTTCTGAAGATGAATAAAAAAGGAGATATCTTAGAGTGTTCCGGGCATTCCCCGGCCCGCAGGCGAGAAGGGGGCGTCACCACCGCCCGTCCACCAGTAAAGACAAAGGAGAGCAACCAGCACCTAGTGAACCGAATTAAAGAGCAATAGTCAATTAGTATGATCAATCTACCCATTACTTTGATCACTTCACTTATGTGACCGATAACCGGGGTCGTTGATATGACGTAGTTGCATGATATGAAGTGGTGAAGAAATTGTTTGTTGTATTTACACCTTGGAGATGTTGGGTATATGCACAATCATTCATGAGTTAGTGGTTGATAAACTTCGTGTTGCTTTTTCGTGTAGCAAACTACCGTGTGTGTGCAATATTGAGTGGCGGTAAAGAATTCTTCATAGTATTTACGTTGCTATAAAAGAAATGTTGTTGTCAAATGATGCAAACACGCAATAGTTTGAGTCATATAAATGAGTAGACGTGTGCTTGAAATCCTACATTAGTTAGTGGTCGGTAAACCGTATTGTTAGAGAATTGTAGCAAACCGCCGCCGCATGTCGTTATACTGAGTGACGGAAAATAATTATTTGTTAACGCTTTGGAGGAGAAGATTTTGTGAACAATACGCAGTAGAGGGAACGTCAGAGTTATATGTATGAGTAGACATGCTTGGAATTGATGGTCAATAAACCGTATCGTTAGAGGATCTTTCGCAAGTCGTATGTGTCGTATACGGAATGGCAGAACAAGATTGTTTGTTGAATATTTAACTTTTAAATACGTTGTATTTGCGCTTTGGAGGTGGAGATGTTATTGTACAGTGTTACATGTACAATGTGTCTGACCTTATATAAAAAGATTTCTCGTTTAATAAATTATCGTATCGCTATTTGGTGTTAAGAGTTCGTTGTTTGATGATTTGTTTTTTGTAATATAAAAAACTATCAAAAATTTTTTGTTGTTTTACGGTTTATTATTGTCATATGTGGATTGTGGAGCGGTAAGAGAAGAACTGTTTGCTGGGTAAACCTGAGAGGAGAGTTGACGCGCGTTAACATGACAATACTTGATATTATTAATTATAAGTATAAATGTGTGCGACAATCTGTGACTGTCAACCAATAGTGAAACATAAATGTGTATAATGTCTTTATTAATGTAATACGTGTACTCCGGAACAATTGCGATATTCTAGAAGTTACAAGCCGTAATTTATAGTTGTCTCAAGTAGCGTCCAGTAAAATAGTTAAGCGATATTCATAATATATTAGAACGTTCTTTACAATTGGGATGACACCTTAATAATTATATCGACAACAGTCTACGGGTGTGATGAATAAAATTAAGGGCATTATTTACACAAGCCAGATACAAAATTTAACTTTATTAAGTAGTTGGTTGAGATTTTGCACACCAGTCATCATTGACTGATCGTGGATGAGGTTGCTTTTTTACCTAGTATTCACATTGATTGGTTTTTTGATACACTTAGTTCTTGTTCTTTCATCAAAGAAATAGTTCTTCTCCCTTCACTTTGTAAGGCACATTTCCTATTTTTTTTTTTAGTCCTCCGTAAAAAACTAATATTTCGAACGCGACTATTTACTCAACAGACGCTAAGACCAAGAAACTGGTAACCTGAAGAAGGCGACAACGCGTTTTTTTTTTCATTCATAGCACGAGTTTGGTAACAAAAAAAAGGAAAGCGGTTTGAAGACGGGATAAGAATTTCTTACTGGGTAAATTCGTTGAGTGGTTTGTATCCGAAGTACGCTGCCACTAGGTGTAAAAACCGGATATTCGAAAGCGCATCGGGCCACACCTGTAGATTATTTAACCTTTCGGGTACGTATCTGAAGGGACGCTGCCACTAGGCGTAAGTCGGGGTTTTGAATCGAATCAAAACTCTGTTGCCGAAAAAAAGCTGCAATCAGCTTTGTGATGAATAGAATACGTTGGCAATCGTGGTTCTCTGACAAAGTTGGGTCTTAACCTCAATGATGCTGGGAGTGAAATATATACTACGTTGTCGTTGGGGGCCTGATTAGTAAATGATTAACTTGCTGATATCTGTTCCGAAAAGCCGACTGTAGCTATGATGGCTCGGGCCGTGGTGAATAAGATACACGGGCCACTGAATTGAAAGCGCATCGTGGCACGCAGCTTGCATATTTATGTGGTTTAGGTACCCCGGCCCTTTACCTGTGATTGCGTCTGTTGTGAACGTTCTTCTTTGGCCCTTGACTACGAAGATTCGGTTTACTCGTTATTATTCTTATTGTTCTCACCGAACAGGAGGACAAGGTTCACGAGAAAGTCTTAATCCCCGATAAGGCTTTTAATAAACCTTTTTATCGTGCGGATAATGCATTGACGACATAATCGCACAGACCGATATTACGATGTCACAACCAAGTTTTGCAAGCAGCGTGAGTCACGCTAGACGTCAACAGATATTTGTTACGCAGTGTCGAGAGATTCAGCAGTAATAATTACGTTCCGCTTACTAAAAAAGGGGTCCGTATCATTTCACCAAAAATCATTTCACCGACGAATATTTCACCGACAACCATTTAGCCGAAAATCATTTCATCGACAATCATTTCGCCGACATATTCACCAGCATTATTTCGAAATTATCCTTTTTTGGTAGTCGTTGTCGGCGAAATGATTTTCGGTGAAATGATCGTCGGCGAAATATTACGTCGGTGAAATGATTTTCGGCGTTATGATTGCCTCCCCTAAAAAAGGTATTTGTAAGCCTTACGATTTGGGTTGCTTTCGGAAAATTGAAACTACTCTCGCAAATAAAAAGATTTATCGTATCTTTCAGAATGACTTGTTTCATAGACTCTCCTCTTTTTGTAATCATAATCCATTTTGCTAGATCCATAATAATAATGACAGATCATTATTGGTTTAACAATTACATAGTGTCTAATTCTAATACGTTCATCAAAATAGATTGCATAATAATGGCCCCTACTCCTGTGTCTTAAATAAAGTGTTTATTGTGCAATATGATTCGTTAAACTAGTTAGTTGTGGACAAATAACATCAAACCCGGCAGGAAAAGTCAAATAATTCGCACAACGTTTGGGTAAAAGCATATCTTAGCATTAAAAATATCAAGAATTATCCATGTTTTAAATGACATGTATACAGTAATCAAAACCATGTTCAGAGCCCTCTCACTATTATGTTCTATTTATATCATTATAATTCAGTAACTCCTAATGTACTCTGGACAATGTGTTATACTTGACTATCATTTAGCTGATGCTTACTAATACTAAGGCAATTTAATTGCTTTAAAAACAACTTTTATTAAGTTTGTCTCCTATTGCAAGTAATAAGATTATTTTATGCTTGGGTATAATCTTGGTCCACTGTCTTCTGATACAGCTCAACTGCTTTCTGAACATTCTTTTCTACTCCTACCCCATTCTCATAGCAAAACCAAGCCTAGTTTGTGCTCTGGCATAACCTTGATCAGCTGCTTTCTGATACAACTCAACTGCCTTTTGAATGTTCTCTTCTACTCCTGTCCCATTCTCATAACAAACACCAAGACTAGTTTGCGCTCTGGCATAACCTTGATCAGCTGCTTTCTGATACAACTCAACTGCCTTTTGAATGTTTTTTTCTACTCCTGTCCCATTCTCATAGCAAAAACCAAGCCTAGTTTGTGCTCTGGCATAACCTTGATCAACTGCTTTCTGATACAACTCAACTGCCTTTTGAATGTTCTTTTCTGCTCCTGTCCCATTCTCATAACAAACACCAAGACTAGTTTGTGCTCTGGCATAACCTTGATCAGCTGCTTTCTGATACAACTCAACTGCCTTTTGAACGTTCTTTTCTACTACTACTCCTATCCCATTTTCATAACAAAAACCAAGATTAGTTTGTGCCCCAGCATAACCTTGATCAGCTGCTTTCTGATACAACTCAACTGCCTTTTGAATGTTCTTTTCTACTCCTTTCCCATTCTCATAACAGATACCAAGATTAGTTTGTGCCCTGGTATAACCTTGATCAGCTGCTTTCTGATACAACTCAACTGCCTTTTGAATGTTCTTTTCTACTCCTGTCCCTTTATCATAACAAAAACCAAGACTAGTCTGTGCCACTGCATTATCTAGTTCAGCTGCTTTCTGATACCATTGAACAGCTTGCTCAAGACTTTTGTCAGTTTCCATTCCATGTTCATAAAAAAATCCAATCAACCAGAAGCATTGTCCACAACCAGCATGAGATTTCAATATGACCTCTGATTTTTTTTGTTCCTCACTATCTTGAATTATTGAATTTCGGATAAAGCCAGCAACTTGATCTTCAGTTTTCCCACTAAGCTTTAATCTCTGGTATAAAGTTAATAACTTATTAGAAAATGAATGATCTTCAACTATTTCTTTATGTTGATCACAGAGCTTAATCAATTTTTCCAATGTATTTCTTAGCCTATCATAACACT